TCCAAAGCTGAAAAAAGAGAATTATTCTGAACTGGCCAGTGATGCTGTGATTTCCACTTCTCTTTATGAATTTGATGAGAACCCTTTCCCTTGGTTAGGTTTTACATCAGAAATTGCAACAACGGTATTGGGGTTCAAAATGACAGAGGCCAAGGCTAATGGGGAGCTAGGAGGGATCATGCCAGAAGGGGCAGATATTATTATTGCTAGGAAAGATACGAAATCTTCAACTTTTCGGTTAGCAATAGGGCCTGATAGAACTCAGCGTTACACAACTGGAGGATTTAGAGTTGAAGTGGAGAGAAATACAAGGGAGGTGTATATCCAGATTGTTACAAAACTCAAAGTAACTTTCAAGGTGTTAGTATTTGCAAGTGCTAATGTCACTCATGCCTCTCCTATAGCCTCATTTTCTGCATTTCACAACAAGCCAACTGTTGCAAGCAAAACTAAGACCTCTCATACTGACTGTAACGTTAAGGCTTCTTACATTATCTGTCTCCCAAAGTCACTGTTGAGAGCTGCAGCCCAAGAAAGTGGTACTGATAATACTGGTAAATATAATATCTCTATCATCTTGCTGTCACGCTATGTCGTAAGGTATCAAAACACAAGACTGGTGAGCATATCCATTTTTAGTGATCAGTGCTTATTTCTGGATGGTGTTGGCAGTCACTGGAAAGAAAGCACCTGCCGGCTTGGCTCATATACCAGTTGGCAAAGGGTGCATTGCATCTGCAATATGAAGTGGAGACACAAAAGACTTGTAAAACACGCGGTGTCAAACATATCCACTTTCAACATCAGGTTCCTGGCAGCCAAGGTAATAGTTACTCCCAACACTGTGGATCTGGAAAAATCTTTGATAGCAGACATACCTCAAAATCCTGTGACCCTTTTAACGGTTGTGGTAATTTTTCTAGCCTACCTTGTTTTGGCCCTTTGGGCCATGAAAAAAGACAAGGCTGACAGGGTCACCAAGGACAAGATTATCGTTCTGCCAGACAATGACCCTTTTGATAAAGTGTGCTTTGTGGTCACGTTATACACAGGCAGTCGCTTGGGAGCTGGAACCAGTGCAGATGTTTTTCTTCAACTCGTTGGCCAGGATGGCACAAGTGATGTCCATTGCTTACAACATCCACATTTTCCATCTTTCCATCAGGGAAGCACAGATACGTTTTTGTTAACTACAAAGAAAGACTTAGGAGATATTTCTGCTTTGAGGGTCTGGCACAATAACCAAGGGCCTTCTCCAAGCTGGTTCTTAAGCAGAGCAAAAGTTGAAAATCTGTACACTAGGAAGACCTGGTTATTTATTTGCCGCAAGTGGCTTGCTCTCCACAAGGATGACCACTTAATCGAAAGGACATTCTTTGTCATGAATGCAAAAGCACGTCTCTCCAGAATTGACTATTTTTTGATTAATCTTGCTGAAAACCTAATAGATGGTCACCTATGGTTCTCAATTTTTACTCATACCATCTCTGGCACATTCGGTAGGCTCCAAAGGTTATCATGCTGTTTAGCTATATTACTATTAAACCTGCTTGTTAACATTATGTTCTTCAATGCTGACAAAAGTGAAGAATCCCCATTACACTTGAGATATTTGAGATCAATAGCAGTAGGAGTTGAAAGTGCTTTGATTACCATACCTCTACAAATGCTTATAATTGCCTTATTTCGGTATTCCCCGAAGGAACCTTCTTCCTGGGCTGTAACTCAGAACCACCCAAAGAAAATTCCATCCATCACCTCTCAAAATCTTGAGAACTGGAAGGAACACTTATTAAAACGGTGCCTTTCAGAAACTTCAGCACAGTCCAGGAATGCCAGTCTCTCAGAGAACTTGCCTGGTGCTAGCAATTCACTGTGTCCCCAGAATTACAGACAGAGAAAAAACAAAGAAACTCCTCAAACATGGAGTAACTGCACAATTTCTGAACGGGATGCAAATGTAATTGTAGCAGAGGAGGAGACAGGAACAAAGGCTAAGGCTAGGCAAAAAAGACAAGCATCAAATTCCAATTTTAATAATAATACTGCATTAGAAGGGGACAACTTTCAGATTGAGAAGAAAACGCTAAGCAATACCTCCACAACCTTTCGCAAGAGATCACACACAGTTTTGTGCTGGTGGTGTGCCTATTTCTCCTGGGCATTAATTATAGCTGTAACAGGACTATCATCATTTTTCATTGTATTATATGGCTTGTCTTATGGGTATCAGACCTCATTAGAGTGGCTTTTAGCGTCTGCAATCTCCTTTTTTGAGGATGTGTTCCTTCTCCAAACTGTAAAAATCATATTTTTGTCAGCTCTGAGTACAATCCTTCCAAAATACTGTGAAAGTATTACATGGTTAACTCAGGAAAATTATTCAGAAATTAAGTTGGATAAAGCAATGGAGACTGCAGATGAGATGAGAGAAATGCACTGTAAACTTGTTAAAATCAGAGGCAGCAAGCAATATAAACCTTTAGAAGCTGAAGAGATTGCAATAATTTTGAAAAAGGCAAAAACTAAAAAGAAAGCTCTTGTTTTTCTAAAGGATATCATCTGTCACCTTGTATTTTTAACACTTATATTAAATCTTGCCTATTCCACTGAGAACACCAATAGTTTTTACTACAATCAATTTATTCATGATCAGTTCTCTGACAGACTTTCTGGTGTAGATAAGTTAGAACATATTTTCACGTGGGTGAATGGTGTCTTCTTGCCTTTGCTCCATAATGACATTCAGCCAACCTTTCTTTCTGACAGCTGCTCCAAAACCATTGGTTTGCCTCGGATGAGGCAAGTACGGGCTAAAGATACAGAGAAAAAATGTTTCCGTCCAGGCAGTTTTGTAAATAAATATGTGATCAGTAAAAGCCACTGTCTTCACAACTATGGCAGTGACACCCAAGAGAAAGGTGACTATGCTGGCACTTGGGTAAGGACTGCCAAGGAATATGTTTCCAAGGATGCCAGCAGTTATACTGGATTTACTTACCAGCCAAACAAGACTCCATGGGTGTATTACACCTTTGGAGATTTGCATATTTATGGACCAGCAGGATATCCCTTTTACTTTTTCCCTGCAGAAGGCAGGCGAAATTCAACAACAAGGCTGGATATTTTAAAAAAGAGTAATTGGCTCGATGAAAAGACATGGGCTGTGATCATTGAACTAACGACATTTAATCCAGATGTAGATCTATTTTGCTGCATCTCAGTCATATTTGAAGTTTCTTATTTTGGGACAGTAAATTCTAGCTTGTCTGTACATTCTTTTGCTCTCCCTATTTTTCATCAGCAAACTACAGCTCAAATGGTTGTGTTTGTAATTGTCCTTGTCTTTCTATTCATTTACATTGCAGATGAACTTCATATCATACGCCAAGAAAAGAAAGATTATATTAATAATATATCCAATCTAATCAACTTAGGTTTAAAATCGACATTATTGCTTTTTGTTGTTTTAAAGGTCATAAAGTTTAAGATGGGAGCAGATATTGTGAAATTTTACTTACTTCATCCAAATGACTTTATTCATTTTCATGCAGTTTCTCATTTAGATGAGATTTTAAGGATTACTATGGGATTTTTAGCATTCCTTACAGTTTTGAAAACACTAAGGTATTCACGATTCTTTTTTGATGTGCGCCTAGCACAAAGATCGATCTTGGCAGCTCTTCCTGGAATCTCCTCCATGGCCTTTGTGGTTGTTGTGTATTTCTTTGTGTTTATGTCTTTTGGCTACCTTGTATTTGGACAGCATGAATGGAATTACAATAATATGATTCACTCAGCTCAGACTGTTTTCTCTTACTGTGTCTCAGCTTTCAGAGACACTGAATTTTCATCCAACAGGTTGCTGGGTGGTCTTTTCTTAGCCTCTTTCATGTTGGTGATGATTTGTGTCTTGATCAATTTATTCCAAGCTGTCATTATATCAGCTTATGAAGAGATGAAACAACCTGTATATGAAGAACCATGCGATGAAGCAGAAGCAGTTACTTTTCTGATAAAAAAGCTCAGAAATTTATGGTACCTTTTGATTCATAAAACACCCAAAACTGGTGACCCAGATCTTCTTCACAGTATACTCTATGGGCAACCACAGAGGAGACATCACCGACATTTGGGGATCAAGAACAGAAAAATAAATGGGAAAAAAATGGTTTATCTTGTAATATGAGCAAGCAGGATATTGTATTTAGCACTAATTTTACTCTGTGCTATGTACTTTTCAAATAAATGCTCCTCCATGTTTAACTTAATTAGTCGTTCTTGCCTAAATTTGTTAGCAAGTTTTAAGGAATTCCTAACACTCAGCCACTATGTTCTGGTTTTCTCCTGAATTTTGGTCTTGTATCCACCTCAGTGGTACTTTCCTATTGTGGGAGCTGATACCTCTTTCTACATAGACAATGACTAGAGAATAAGACTATGAGGGGTAATCTTGCCTCTGGCAAAGAGGCCATGAGCGGATCTATACTAATCTATACTAAGAGAGGACTGAAAAAGGTGAGTGCTCTCAAAATGCTGATGAAGCCTTTGCTCCTCAAAGCATAAGGCATAAAAGACAAGAGGATGATTTATTGTGCCTTGACCTGGCACGGTGAAAATAGGAGTTCTTAACACTGCATTTACATTTGTATGCAGATTACCCTGCATATAGTTTTAACTTTTGCAAGTCATTGTTAGACACTAGTATAAATAGTATAAAATAGTCTTTCTGTAAAATGCTGCATTTTACAACTTTCTCTGGATACTGGGTGGTATGTTACTCTCTCTGGAGTATTCCCAAGTATCCATTTCTTGCAGAGATGGCCTTTCTCCCTAGCTGTATTTCAGTTTTCCAGCACAATTCCATTTCCGTATCATATTCGACTGTATTTTAAGAAATGGAAGATGGGGGTCAGAATGGTTTTGATGACAGCTTTATCAACGGTTGCTGAAGAAAGCTCTAAGGGCAGGTTAATGGAGGGATGGGTTTTACCCTGAAAAGCACAAAAGGCCATTACTTGAGTATCCCCGAACGCGAACAAATGTTTGAATCCGGTAACACTGTAACGTCCTCTCTTACCTAGCAGCTCATGAAACCAACTGCAAGTTAGCTTAACTGCTGCCATTCGGAGCAGCCACATCTGCAGTGCAACCGCTCATCTTCCCCAGTACCATTCTTGTCTTAACCTTGGTTCTGCCCCACACATTTATTCCAAAATAAATATGCACAGCCTCCTTCTCCAAGGAAGCCCCTGGTCCCAGAGGGGAAATACAGCGCCTCAAGGAAAAGGAAAAAAGCATAAAAGGAGACCACACAGCAACACACCCTTACCTAGTGAAGGAGTGAACTCTCCAACTAGGATCAACCAGCACAAGAGAAAGAAGTGCAAAACCCGATTTCTTGTCCTGCTGCTCTTTTCCTGAGGAAGACAAAGTGCAAAGCCATTGCTAAGTGGCACACCAGCACAATGTCTTTTTAGTGCTGTCACATACCCCAGAGATGCCAAGCCACATGTAGATTTGTCCATACTATCTTGGTCTGCATTTCATCAGAAAGGTGGGGAAACTTTTGGTGCTCTGACAGCGTGCTTCATCACAGATTTCTAGAAACCAGGGCTGTCTTATCCAGGCAGTGTGAGTCAGACCCTGTCTGCAGCACCAGCCTTTCCAGCTTGCCCCTCTTTCTCTTCCACATCTAACAAGGTCTCTCTAGACATAGTCCCTCAGGATATTTCCCGCACTCTTTGCCAGACTATTCATTTGACTCTCAAAAGCCGAGTATGACAACCTGTGAGATGTAATTCAGAGCAATGATGGCAATATAAACTTCTGTTTTTCCTTCTGGCCCATTCTAGACTGGGGAGGTTTTCTACCTCCATCAGTCCAAATTTTGCACTTGTGTAAAAGTGGGCCCATTGCTGCTAATAGATAACTAAAGTATCCCAGGTTTAAATAAAATAAAATAAAATAAAATGACTGATTTCTTAGCAGTGCCTCATTACAGAACAGATTTTGTTTATACTCAGTGATGAATTGCATCTATATGGGTGGTTTATACTTCCTCATAAAATCCAATCATTCATATCCTGAAAAGTGATACTAATTGAACTAAATCTAGTTTTGTTTGTCAATTAAAAAAAAAAAAGGTTATACTTCTGCGGCTAACTTCAGTGCAGACTGCTTTTAAGGTGACCCTTTCGCACACTGACTTCTACCCAGCAACTCCGTTCCGCAGCAAGCAAATCACTACCAAACAAATAGAGAAACCATGTGTCACGGCTCGTGTAAAAATGTAACGAGTGCGCGCTCCGGCCACCGAAACGCCTGCGTTTCATGCAGAGCAACGCGAGATTTCGCAGCAGCAGAGACCCCTAGACCTCAGACTTAAGCTCTAACCCCCAACCCAACCCGTAACACTTAATC